GAAGACTGTCACGTAACTCATTCCCTTAGGACAATAGCAGAAACAATTCATATTCACATCAAAGTTAAAAATCGGATTCTTCAACGAAGAAATGAACTTCTGCAAAAACAAACAAAACTTGTTTCCCTTGGGAACAGTCACAAACACATGTTTCTTCCTTCTCAACTGCCACTCGATCACATTACAACATAGCAACCAAATAGAAGCTCTGTTCTGTTTGGGAGAAGGGTTGTTGATCACTATACAGTGGGGCTGCAATCTCTCCAGTTGCTGCCAAATACCATCTTGACCCTTCATAGTGGAAAAGTTGTATCCTGCCTTGAAATCCATAGGAGATGCAACTTTAACACCATTCTTTGAAAGGAACCAAGATAATCCACTGTTTCCATGAAGTAACTCAACAACATCAGGATGATCATCATTACAGAAGAAAAAGGACTGTTCTCCAAATTCGGCATCAACATACAGTTCGTGATCTTCACGTAAGTTCTCCGGGTTCTCATCGTCTAATGCCGGTATGGAAACATCATGCCACTCATCGTGATCGCGTCTAACCTTTGACTGATTCACACGTATCACTGCCTTACCAGTATTGGCTTGGACCATAGCTCCTTCTTGTCCAAGTACTGTGGCACGAACCCAACGTCCTTTATCCTTGAACTTTGATGAATCCTGAGTCCAAATAAAAACCTTCTCTCCTTGGAAATAAGGACCGTCACTTGGCATAGTTCTTCTTGCAAGATCTGCTCGAAGGTCCTGAGCTTGTCGTGCTTCTTGATGAGCTCTCAAAGCTACACGTTGTAGTTCCAGATTTGTACGATCTTGTGCGGCTGCACTAGCTGACAATTGCTCAGGGCTTGCGGTCTCAAGGTCAAAAAGATCTGGTGGACGTCTTCCAGTTGCTATCTCTATTGGTGAATATCCACTGATAGTCAACTGACAATTTCTTGCCCAAACTACCTTCTTGACCACTTCTCTGACCGTAACACCACGAAAACGTGGGTCATCCAGATCTACCTTCATAACATGCCACATACGTTTGAACAAACGTACAGCTGTCTCTGCTCGGTTCGGCCAAGGAGTTCTTGGCCCGCAAGGACATTGTTGTATACCATGGAACCTGTAGTATTCAACACAAGCATCGGTGAAAAAGGCTTCGTCTCCTACGATGGCCTTTGGAACACAGTTGCTCTCATCAGACCATTGCCTCAATGCTTGGATGGTGGTTTGATCTATGAGGTCTTTCTGTGCCGTAGCCCAGAGAAGATTTGTGGCACCATCAAGAACAAGTAAGATGATATACTTGTTCTTGTGAAGTTCAACCTCACAATGATCAGCAAAAACAACATCACCAAAACATGAAGCTCTAATACCGGAGACTCTGGCTCGTGGCGGAGGTGCCACTGAAGTGTTACAAACACGGCAGTTCCTGACAACTGATTCATACTTCTCTAAAACAGAGTCAGGAAGCTTCAACATAGAAACACGTCTACGAAACTGAGTAGGACTCATATGGTAGTGCTTCACATGAAGCTTATAAAGCTCTACCTTGTCCTCCAGTCTCTGTAACATCTTCCTATATGCCGGTGTCATTGCAACAACTTCACTACCAGGTAATGGGATTGAAATCCGCCTAGGCTCAAGAGCGCCATCACCTGGTTCAAGTGGTTCATGTTTATCACTTGATGGTCCTTTTGATGCTTTAGGAATTTCTACAAGTTCACCTTCTGGCCTCTCAGGTGGTTCTGAGGGAGCATACTCCTCAAGATCATCACCCTTTAAATCATTCTGAGGCTCAGATGGTTTCGACTTGTGTCCTTTCCAAAATGGATCAAAACCCTTGGAAGTATACCGAAACTTTGGCGGCACGGGCTTTTCCGCGGCACTGGATGGTGCACCTTCCTTCTCTGATGAGAAGCCTGGTTCCCTGTCCTTTGCAATGGGAACCTTCTCTGAGGAGGAGCGCACCACTGCATCGGGATCACCAATGCCACGGTGCTCAATGCCAGCCTTCCTGATCTTTAGATCGGGAATTTTGGCATCTGGCTTGAACTTTAAAATTGTTCTACCACGCCATTCATAGCCAATTTGTAGGTCCTTCCATTTTGCCTTGCGCCAATCATCTTGCTTCTTGATTTCTTTTCCACCTTTCTTCTTCTTGATGATTGTCAGTCGCAAGTCTTCCAGTAAGTCAGTGTCTACAGGACAGGACTTAGTTGCTGGAAAAAGAATCTTTCTATAATCCTTGTGGTGACGTATCAGTTCTCTCTTGTGAACATCTACTTCCCAGTAGTCAACCACAGGATATGCATGTTCAGCTACATCTTCATCACTATTGTGATCAACAGAAATATGACCATATTCATAGTGAGTGAAGTGAGAGTAAAAACTCTTCTCGCGCCGAGTCTGCAAATTCACGTCAGACAGATACCATGCAATATCTTGGAAGTCCAAGACAAGATGAGTACTGGCTGCAACCTTCAACTCCAAATATTTGATACCAAGAGGCACCGATGTCAGATAAGCATGTTGAGGTGTCAGCCTGAGTTCAAAGCCTAAGTTCCTCATCTGTGGCAAGCTCATAAGCAAAGGGACTTCTCCTTCTTCCACTATGTCGAACTCTGTATGGTGGATCGTCCATGCACGATCATACATGTAAATCACCAGTTTCTGAGAGCAAGTAGCCTTCTGGGAATTGGCAAAGTAAAACTTGCTCTTGGTAGCCTCAAAAGAGTACCATAATCCACAATCTGGGTGATTGTCGACATAGTTGCAAAAATGGTCGACTGCTCGCCTTGATCCCATAGCTCTAGTGCATCCAATGTCCAGGATTGCAATAGTCGGCGGGAAGCGATTCTCAGTCAAAAATGAAATGGCCTGCATCTCCTTCACTTCTTCCTCAGCGCTCATAAGCGCAAAACCATCAGGAGCCTTTGCGAGCATCTCCTTTGACAAAGAGTACCTCACAGGGGCACTCATGCCATTGAAGATCGTCTCACCATTGTTGACCGCGCAGTCAGCTTCATCTTGACATGAGGTCATCATGCCTGACAGCAAGTTCACCTCACTGTCATGGACTTCAGCTGCTGCTGTCACACAATGTGCAAAGAAACCTTGTTGACCTCCTGATGCTTGTGAAGATCTTGAAGGTGCAGGTAAAGAACGTGGCTGTTGTTGATTTGCATAGTTTGCATCTTGTTTGCCATCTCCTTTATCTTTTCCTTTTCCTTTCTTGCCTTTTCTCTTGCCTTTTCCTTTTCCTTTGTGGGAAAACCATGCTTCTTCCAGCTGTTGCCAAAAGTCATTGGCATCATCATATTCTCCTTGAAGATAGTCATTCATATCTTCGGCAAGAATGGCATCATATGCTACTTGGTTTGACTCCCAAGTGTCCTCATAAGGATTCTCTTCATAATACTCATCTGGAAAAGTTGTCTGTTGCTCATCAGCAAAATGGCCTTTACCTCGTCTCTTTCCTTTTCCTTTTCCACGAGGTCTGAAGAATCTGCGGCCTGATCTTCCTTTACCTTTTCCTTTTCTTCTTCCTTTTCCTTTGCCTTTTCTGGCTCTTCTTCCTTGGAATCTCCTCTGGAACCAAGAGAAATTCTGTTCATCATATACCCAAAAGACATCGTCTAGGGCATCTAGGAATCCTTCTGTTCCATCTTCTTCATCTTCGGCCCAATAGCCAAATGTACCATCGAGTTCTCCTTCGTCTAGTACGAGAAATGATCTTCTACCTCCAGCACCTGTCGGCTGCATCAAAGGATTGTCTACTGAAGTCTTTGTTGTGCAGAACATCTCAATGAATACTGTCCTCAACTCTGTTGTGGTGTATTGCTGCAGGACCCTGCCACGATGAGTCATCAAAGAAGTCAAAGTGTTTCGCTGGTCCTGAGACAAATCTGCAAGTGACAGCATGAGTAAGGCAATCAGATTTTCTCCTAGAGGAAATTCGTTCTGATGAAAAGTCCTCATATTGCCATTGATGGTCTGCATGATTTCCTGAATCCTTTCTGCCGTTGGTGCTACTCCAGTCAACGCTGCATCTGCCTGCATCTGAGCTAGGACCTGTGGATGTGCTTGAGTGACTGGTTCTAACATGTCCATCCAACTGCTCATAAGCCTTTGGAGTAAAATCTGGAATCTTGTCATCCATTTCATCATGTCAGCTGATCCTCGATTGAAGCGCACGAATTGCATAAATCTATACAGGAATACATTGGTTGATCCTTTCACGAAATATGGTCGTAGTACTCGTTTGAAATATTCTACGCCGGCTCCTGGTGGATCATTTGCCTTCAATGCATCTCTGTCTAAAACACGCTTGTATACAGCTGCTTCTCCTTCTAATCTGTTTCTCAATGCTGGTCCTCTCTTCTCATCTTCCAGCTCGGTGATATCACACCAATCGTCTATGGCATCCTCATAGGAAAACCATGAAGTCTTTCCATCATAAGATGGGGGCACCTTTGTAGTGACCTGTGTTGTCATTGCTATTGCTGCTGGTTCTCTTCTCACATGCCTATTCACATAGGCTGCTGGCTCATAAGCCACATCCGCATCAGGCTCTTCCCAGTCGTCTATCCAATCCATGGCTGTTTGCCCACTAGCAAGTCTATGCCTAGGAAAGGAGCTCACCTGGGTCTTCCAGGATCACTGCTCCGCTACCACTGAAAGAGTGACTAGGGCGTACACGCTAGAGGTGCAGACCGCTAGTGTCTTTTATGCGCAGAGTCTTATCCTCTTGCTCTTTGAGCCTTGAAGCAGTCAAGTATGGACACACTATATCGGCTGTTGGAGTGGAACCCTGTACAGGTAGGCTCTACTTTTCAGGGGGGGGGGTCTGAATTGAGCGATCAATTATTAGACCCGGACGTCCCAACACTTGCTTCGCAAGACAAACTCAAGGTATCCCCTAAAGGGCTACCTTTCGTGACATGTGGGGTCTTTTCGATTAGCTCCTGTCGCAAACAAATCAAAGTGTTGCGCAAAGCCTCTGGATGGACGCGTGACTCCGCATCCTCTTTGAAGGCCAACAAATGCTTCTGCCCACACGCCCAACTCGGCACCTTCACATGAAACAAGTCAACGCCCACCGGGCCCACTGCGGCACCACACGCGGCAGAAGCGCTTCTTTGGCACTTTTGGGGCACGTTCATGGAGACGCGCACGCAGCGGGGAACAGAGGAGCGAGAGCTTTCGGAGTCCGAAACAAAGTCCAGAAAGCGCTGGTCATCACTGGGGGTCCTAAGGATCGCGGATGGAGTCGGCTCCACTGGTGGAATCGATGATCGCCCCTGGAAAAAATCACAGCAAGTTTCAGGATCAAAAGCATGTTGTTTATAGGATGTCACCCATTGGCTCATCTGACAAAGAACTTCAATCCTATACCCCCGTGACCCCTCTCTTAGCCGCAACGGAAAAAATAAAAACACTCTCCCAGGTCCTGTCGAGAAAAAACATAGAAAAAGGATGCCGAACCACCAGCTTCCCCCCACCGGGGTCCCCCAAGAAAGGAGTCCGCTCCGCATCCGCGCGCGGGTCCACGTGCATTGAGAACCCGCCGTGTTCGCCGGGACGGCGCGGGGTCCAGATGACGCGAGGATAACTCGCTCTCTGGAAACGGCCGAAGCACTGCAACTATGACTAACAAGGACGCGACAAGTAGCTCCCGGCATTTCTACTAGCAACAAGAAGCTACTAGTGGCTCCGAGGCACTGCAAGAAGTTGCGGAAGCTGCAACCCTCCAAAGAAGCCCTGGCACCAAGCACTCGTGCTAGTCCTCCATCCTGGCAAGGGATGGCAGCTTTGCTTTCGCAGTGAGGTGATGGCCATAGCCAATTGATATCAATTGACCATATTGACACCTCAAACCTCGGAGAAAGCAAAGTTGGAGGTACTGGTACTCACTGCTAGAGGTCCTGCTACTGATACTCAAAATCCTTCTTTCTTCCCACTGCCGCCCGGCACGGCAGGTGGGACATGATCCAAGTCCCTTCAAGTTGAAATCGGTGAACGTGAAAGTGAGATGAAAACCTGATCGTCTCGCTTTCGCTTTTTTCGCTTTCCATTCTTGAGGTTACTATCATGTTGTACCATGTTGTACCTATATACTACTAGGAGCAAGGACACTACTAGGGGCTCCTGGCCTTACTACTAGGAGCAAGAAGCTACTAGGGGCTCCTGGCCTTACTACTAGGAGCAAGGACGCTACTAGGGGCTCCTAGGATCCTATAGGATTCTCATGGTATTCCTCCTTCACCAACTGAACCAACGGGCAGCCCACCCGCTGAGAGACAGCGGTCCCGTCCCTCCTCGAGGATTTGGAACTCCTCGTCCAGCAACACGTCGCCATCGGCCACGCCCTTAAGCACCCGGCGGACGCTTTGGAGCATCGACGCCGTCTCGTTGGAGGTCATCCTGACGTCTGAAGAAAAGCTTGTTTGCTTTTTGGGAGAAGGAAAGTCGAAGAAAAAGCGGTCTCCATGTCAAAGCCGTCTACAGTCCGGCCCGTAGGATCCCTTAAAGTTGCGTCAGGATTAGATTGGTGGACAGACTATGGCGCTGAACAATGTTTCTTCATCCGTCAGGTCGATTCTGGGCCAGAAAGTAATGAACCACACTGAAGCCACAACCAAAAACTGAGTGAACGGCGTTGTTCCGGTCTAGCTGTTTCATGCACTCCGGACCAAACTCTCCAAGTGTCACTGCGCTAATCCTTGAGCGTGTCTGGTGCTCGCAGAAGGCGACTGCCACGACCACCAGGCCATACGTGCAAAGCTCCTGCAAGTGAACGTGAAGTCAACTTCACACCTGCACTCCATCTCTCGGTGCTCATTTTGGACAAAAATGGGTGATCATGATCGCCGCCTAGATGTCACACCTCCAACGATTTTGGAGTCCCGCGTGAGCCTTCACCGGTCCTGGAGCGCGTTGGAGCGTGCGTGGAGTAGAGCCACTGCTGAGCTGTGCAGCGCAGTGAGACGCCAATCCAAATCTTCGAGGCCCAAAGTGACGATGAGTCCCAAATGCAGTTTCTCCTGTCCATTCATAGAGAGTTGGCATAGTGGAAAGGTCACAGATTAGACATCACTATGTTGCAAAGGGGTCTCAAAATGAGAAGAGTTTGATGGCCAATCCCAGCCCAAACCAACTCAAGTCCCCAAACCTGTTCCATCTCTTGCAAGAGCCACCCGGTCACCCATCCAAACCCCACCGTTCCGAGCGCCAGGGGCGCCAGGGGCGTCAGGGCGGGCGTCAGAACGCCGTCCCCACGAATAGAAGGAAGAATGAGACATTGAAAACCAAAAACATATCAGGCGTCTTTTGGACACTAATTTCGTTGTTTTGGCCGTATCGAGGTCTGGATCTGTTGCGAGTTTGGCCCAATAGTAGCCAGGCATTTGTGTCCATGGGGTCGTGACCCCCTGTCCTTTTTGTATGCATTTGCCATTTGTGCACAGAACAGCCATGCGACTTGACTTGGGGTACCGTCTTTTCCTTGGACGTGGGTCTTGAGGGCGGAGTCCCGTGAGTTGTGGATGTGACTTTGCTTTGGCGAGGTGACCCCCAACACATTCAGAAGTTCTTTTCTGTGTTTTCCTGTGCAAGATGAATACATAGACCAAGTGAGACTTGTTAAACGTTAAGTTATATCTTCAACATAATTCAGAGAAATGTCTTGCACAAAGCACTTCCGCGTGGTGATCTGCAGTACTGCCTGCATTGTACTCCAAAGTTCTGGCTCTTGGGGTCGGACGGCTTGGACAAGTGGACAGGATGCTCGGATGAAAATCTCGGAGGCGTGAAAATAGTTTCAATTATTCCTCTCATTCTTTAAGTACATTCTATTTATTGTTTCTACTAGCTTCTTGTTACTACTAGTAAGGCCCTTGCTCCTAGTAGCGATGCACTTATTCCTAGTATTAGACAATTAAATGAGGCATGATAATTGTAAATATGTGTTGATACGATGACCTCCCGGACAAGTGCAAACTCTGCAACTCGGCGCCGTCGGGTGGTTCACACCGCGGAACGCTACGTCCAGTCGGCTACGATCTATGCAACGGCACCTGCATGACATGAGAACCTGTTTTGGGCTGTTTTGGGGCAGAGAAAAATCTGTGATTTCTGTTCAACAGGTTTTTTTGTTCAGTACGCTCGCCTCGCCATGGCCGTTTTGTTCGTTGCATGTCCACGGAGACGTGCACTACATGGCTTCCGAGCAAGTCAGCAAGAGCCTGCTTCCGAGCATTTCTTTGGCCAACCCCACGTGTTCTCTTGTGGGCCTTGATAGCGGTCCCCAAATAGATATAGAAAAAAAGTAGATGCCCACCTGAGAATGTTTTGGAAGGCGTTTCTATCTATTTGGGCCTCCTCACCTGGTGTTGTTTCAACCATACTGTCCTCGCATCGCCACGTACGTTGACTTAGGCTCGTAGCATCGCACAGCTCGAAAAGCACACTTCGCTCACTTCGCTTCACGTGTTTACTCTGTCAACTGCGGCTCCAAGGCAAAAGGTCGATACTTCTTTTGATAAACCGAGATACCACTGCAGGGGATTTGACCCTCACCCCCATTCCACCCCTCCTCACCCCCTACTTAAGTGGCAAACACGACATGAAAAACAAAAGGAAGCCGTTGAGAGGGGAGCGCACCTGTTTGAAGATGTGTGGTGGGGCGAAAGGATATCATTGCGTGGTGCATTGCACCCTGCACTCCTGGTATGCAAATGCCGCCGGATCTGACTTGAGGCAGAAGACCGCATGAAGCCACACCATGAATCGAAGCAGCATGTTGATCATGCGCACACGGCGTGCGGTCAAATTGACTCGACCAGTGACAATGCGGATGTCGTGCAAGTATACTAGAGAGCCAACCAAGGCTTCCTTTGACAGGCCAAAGCACGTTGATGTAAATGCAAGGAAAAAACTCTATTGACTGACCAAGGAATGGATATTGGTTATATTTGACTACATACTACATAATATTAATTACCATTACAGTACAATATATATTATGTACATGCATTGAATCAAAACTCAGCAAATAATTAGTGTAGCTCTAAAACACACATTGTGCAACAAGCGATGCTCGTGGGAGCCACGATTGTTCCTAGCAAGCCTTGGACATGGCCTCTGGAAAGGAGAAACATGACGAAATTGTCTTTCGACTTGAGAGCCTGCACCAACCTGGCCCCTTTCCGTGGGTCAACCAACCTGGTAAATGAACATGCCCGACTGTTCAGCTCATGTCGTCCACACCCGTATTTGAATTTGTGTAAAACCAACAACGCTAAGCTATCGCTAGGCTATCTCAGGTGATTTGACCAACAAATACTTGGCCTCTCAGATCCTCTCGGCGGATTCGGCATCGGCTAAGTCAGCGAATTGGAAGAGCAAACCTTTTCAAGCGAGTTGGGTCTGACTCTTGAACTAGGTTCCATTTGCTATTAGGTTGGAGGCCATCGCTAGTAGGTTGGAGGTCAGCGTTATTAGGTTGGAGGCCATCGCTACTAGATTGGAGGCCATCGCTAGTAACTAGTTACTAGTTGCTGTCCAGGTTGCGAAAAAAGCGCTCAGGGACAAAGTGCTGCAAAAGCGCAAGAGGGATTCAATGGTGATCACGAAAACGAAGTGTATCATGATCCTGGTGACCAAATTCAGAGAGCTCCAGCAAAAGGTCCACTTTGGTGGAAGAACACCTGAGAAATATGTCCATCCCTTTCGTCCGTTTTGGACAGGCCATGTCTACTGAATTGAGGGGACTCTTCCTGAAACAAAAAACGTGAACATCACACCGACAATCTCCTTGTGCCGATATGCCGGTTCGCGATCCTCACCTGACGCTCGAGCACTCCACGCGGGCTGAACGGAGAACAAGTAGCGTCGTCTGGGTGCTTCTTGAATGTGTTGTTTAAACATGAAGGAAGTTCTTCAAAGGCTTGGAGGCCATGGCTACTAGGGTGGAGGCCATCGCTAGTAGGTCCTTAGGTTGGAGGCCATAGCTACTAGGGTGGAGGCC